ATATATATATATATATATATATATATATATATATATATATATATATATATATATATATATATATATATATAAATAAATTATATATATATATATATATATATATATATATATATATATATATATATATATATATATATATATATAATTTATTTATTTATGAAGTAATTTGTTTATGAAGTAATTTGTGGATATATTTTTATATACATTTATTTATTTGCATATTTGTTTGTTTTATTATTGCAGTAATTCATAGATTTATTTACTCAATTATTTATATATTATATTTATATTTATTTGCGTATTTATTTAATTATTTATTGTTTTGCATTTATTTACCCACCCACAATATTATTTATTTATATATTTATTTATGCAGGAATTTGTGGATTTTTTTTTTTTAAATATACACTTATTTATTTGCATATTTATATATTTGTTTTATTTATGCATGGATCTATTTACATATTCATGTATTTGCATATTTATTTATTTATTTATTGTTTAGGCTGGTTTCATCCTCCATATGCAGGTTTACTAAATCAAATGTAAAAAAAAAATAATAATAATAGTATTTAGCTGCTTGAAAAGCTACATTGTATGTAAAATAGCGGAGCTACTGTCATTCTACAAAGTTACTTGGTGCTAGCTACCCCCCAACACTGATATTTGTTTGTAGTTTTGAGCTGTTCGGTGAAGTTTTAGCGCTGCCAGATACAGTATATGTAGAACTACCCATTGATTTGTTCTGTTTCCATGTGAAGTGAAGCCAGAAGTTTCTCACCGTAACTGTTTAAATGTTTTTTAGCACTTCACACCAGCGTTTTGAACACTTTCTTTGTTTCAGCGTTAGTTAAAGCTGTAAAGAGCCCTGAAGAGATCGTCCACTGGTGGTATCAAAAAATTGAGAATGTAAATTTGATTTTTGCAAAAGCATGTACATTTTTTGCAGCTACTACACAGAAACTAACCAGTTTTGGTGTTTTGCATGGAACAGTATGATATGGTTAGCTTACAAGTGAGGTAATGTTGATGTTTAACCGAGTCTTATTTTTCGTTTGACTAGTTTTGACGCATGTTATTGTGTGTAAAGCACATGGTTTACTTAACAACACATGGAGTTTTGTTTCATTGCTCAATACCTTTTTTGCGTGTGGTTGGATGTAATTTTAAGGCACTTTACGCTAAACCCACCAAATCCATTAAACCATTTGCTAGTCAAAACTAAAGCAGCATCGTGACATTTACAGATGTGAAAACTTCTTGAACGAAGTGTATTGTGTATACTGTATCACACAGCTTTTGAACATACGGTATACACTATATATTTGTGTAGTAAACAGTATGGTGTTTTTCTTTTTTTCTTTTTTTTTTCTTTTCTTTTTGGAGTGTATTAGAACACTTTCACGTTTAGAAAATGTGTTGTTTCATTATTGCATTTGTCCCTTTCTGTGATAGGCTGAGACGGCAGCCAATCGTATCTGCAAGGTTTTGGCAGTCAATCAGGAAAACGAGCACCTGATGGAGGACTATGAGAAACTGGCCAGTGATGTGAGTCCAAGACAAAAATTATTTGTTGTATTTTGTTGTTTATGTGCTATTTATGTAGAGTAAATTTGTACATGCATTACATTTGAAGCATAATGATTAAGCATCCTGTGAAACTGTAAATATTCCGTAAAAAAAAAAAAAAAAAATATATATATATATATATATATATATATATATATATATATATATATATATATATATATATATATATACACAACACATTTTTCAACACAATAGTTTCAATAACTAATGCCTAATAACCACTTAGTTATGATTATATCATATTTGTAAAGGTTTTTTTTTTTTAGATATTTGACATATTTTACATTTTTAAATACCAGTATTCAGCTTGAAGTGCAATTTAAGAGCTTAACTACAATAATTGAGTTAGCTAGGCAAATTAGGTTTATTAGCCAAGTCATTGCATAACAGTGGTTTATTCTGTAGCCAATGAAGAGAAAAATAGTCATAAAGGACTAACAATAACGACCATAAAATATATATATATTTTTATTAAAAGTTGCTTTTATTCCAACCAAACTTAAAGAAATCAGACGTTCTCAAGAAAAAAAAAATCATTGTATTTATCATTGTAACTAAAATATTTATAGCTTTGTTAATCATCACTTGGGAACAGGCATGCTCGTTTCAGTGAACTGACAACCACTGCTCATTAACCAAATATTTGAAAATAAATTATGCAACTATGCAAATTAGTGTTTTTACAATACTGGAATTCGATTCCACTGAAATATTAGAAACGTCTATTTCCCGCGAACATTTGAGCTCTGTTGTGTGCATTCTTAAACAGTGCTGATTTGCCATTGCGTTCATATGCTCAACAGAAATGACTTATCATTAACAGGTTCACAGGTCATCAGTTCACCCAAACTCAACTCTGTTTACTGAGTGTAACCACAGATACTGGGACACTGGAGCGTTTTAAAGCCGTGAAAATCAGTCAATTCATCAGCAGCTCGATTGTATGTCAGCTATAAACAGACCAGCTGATCTTTGCTCCTTTAAAATGCTGCGGTGTCCCTGTATCTGTGGTTACACTCAGTGAACAGCGGTGAGTTCGGTAAACTGATGACCTTCTAGGCCAATCACAGTCATTTCTGTTGAGCATGTGAACACGAAGAAAATTGACGTTTTTAAAAGTTCAGTATCCATTCGTATTGAAATCCAGTCTCGTGACAACCCTACTTGGGAATAAAGATGCTCATTTTAGGTAATTTTCCCAACCGACAACCGAATATTAACGTTAATGATATGTATGTTAACGACCAGATCAATTAACATATGTTAAGCGTTTACTTTTTATTTAAAAACAAAAAAGGTTTTATCTACAATGTCGAACTCTAACTTGGCTCTAAAAGGTTCTTTCTGCGAACCAATCTGCATTTTTAATCCACGCACGAAGACCAATCAGGATCAGCTTTCTTTGTCATTTCCCCAGACTGCTCCATTGTTAGCGGGAAACATCCGAAAGACAAAATCACAAAATAATGCTGCACCACACAAGATTAAGAAGCTTTTAGAAACATTTTTTTGACACTGAGATAAAATGTTATATTTTACACTGTTAAAAAGAAATGAATATTAAAGAACATGTAAATTAAATGTGAAATATTTTTATTTTTCTATATATGTTAAGTGAAACATTTTTCAGTGTTTATTAAACTCATTTGCTCATTATTTGTTTTCTTTAAAGTCTTTAAATTTAATATTAAGCCCTGAAGGGCAAATCTTTAATTTAATTTCTGGGACATATAAATCAAATATAATTCAATAATTCATATAAGGCATAAAACATAATAAATATTACTATATTAGTAAGATAAATTTAACATCTGCACTGGACAAAATATTTAGCACAGCTTTGTATGTTTAATTTGAACAAGAAAAAATATTCATCCTAAAACATGAAATAAATGTTATAGAAAGCAAAAAAATTACTTTCTCAAGCATCAACATATTGTTGCAACATTAATTTATAAATTTTTTGACTGTATTTCTTGAAAAGTGATACTTCAATGAATGATCTGCCAGACAGAACCTTATTATTCCAAGTGGAAAATGACTTTTCAGAATTAAAAGGTTCTATCTGCATTTACCCTGTTTTTTTTTTACTCCAATTTGCAAATGTAAGAGAATTTTGATCATTTACATTTAGAGTATATTTAGGGTCTCTGTCATGTTAATGTATGAAAGAGAAATGTTACACACATTGTTTGCTATATGGAATGCAAAACCTTTGAAGCTCAATATCTCAAAATCATTTAGAACGCAGATAGAACCTTACAATTCCAAGGTGAGGAAATTAATAACGAGTAATTACATTGAATTATTTAACAAACAAAGACTATGCAGTGATATTTTACATTTGATTATTTAATTACTGTATACCTGAATATAGTTTGACTCCTCGGAAAACATAAAAATTTTGCTTATTTAATTTGTATGCATTTTATTTATTTATCTGTGCTTGTATATGGTTTATATTTTTTGCACTCCCCTACAGAATCATCCCAATCAATCTAAAATTATAAATAATAATAATCTTTCCAAAGAGTTATTCAAGTCTTCTAATGAAACTGTATTCATATCACAATATATATTGCAGAACAAAAAAAATCGCAATGTTAGACTTTTTCAATATCATGCAGCCCTGATAAGCACCTGCATTTTAAACTGGCTACCCAGCGTGTTTTACTTATAATTTCTCAGATGTGTTTTTGTTAAACCCCTAATCATTATTCATTGTGCATGTGTGTTATTTCCTCTACAGCTGTTGGAGTGGATTCGTAGGACAATCCCATGGTTGGAAAACCGCGCTCCAGAGAAAACCATGGCAGAAATGCAGCAGAAACTGGAAGATTTCCGCGATTACCGTCGTGTTCACAAACCTCCCAAAGTTCAGGAGAAGTGTCAGCTAGAGATCAACTTCAACACGCTGCAGACCAAACTCCGTTTGAGCAACCGACCGGCCTTCATGCCATCTGAAGGACGCATGGTGTCGGTAAGAAACATGTAATGCAAGTGCAATGGGGAATATGCACAAAGACTTCATTTTCAGTCAGAAATATAATCCAAAGCAGTGGCGGTTCAAGCTTAAACGGCATCCTGGATGAATCACCCTCATATATGCCCCACAATTCCCCCCCTCCCTCAAAACTATCTAGTTTTAGACAAAGGACGATTAAACATGTAAATAAAAAAAAGTATTGTTTTAACCCTAGGCTATTCAGTTCATAAGATCAGTTCAAACTTTTATGAAGTTTTATATTAAAATCACTTGTTCACTGTATAAAAATGTTACATTTTGAAATATTTATAATTATCGATTACAGTATATCGGCGATCGGCCTCCAAATCTTAAGAGTTATCAGGTATCGATATCGGCTCAAAAATCCAAATCGGTGCATCCCTACTAATTTTTATATTTCTTATAAATAAAATTAATATTAATACTATTATTATTATTATTATTATACTATTATTATTTTATTATTATTATTATTATTATACTATTATTATTTTATTATTATTATTATTATTATAAATAATATAACAACATTATAAACAACAGAAAACCTTAATGTAAAGTCCTTAATGTAACTGGAAAACACATTAAAGACAAGACTGGAGTGAAATGCCAAAATCAAAATATTTTGCCTGAATATTAATTATGACAATTCTATTGAATACAAAAAAAAATATGTTAAAGAATTATCTGTTCATCTTAGACCCGACTCATGGCCGAGAATTAATCTTACCTCCCTGACTCTCTCCCTGCTTTCTGCTTCATAGCCATGCTTGGTTAAAATAAGATCATCATCATATTGTAAGCTTCAGTTTTGTCAACTTGCAAAACTCGATGCGTGTCGACATCTTTGAGGATGACATACGTTTGGTAATGACCTATTTGGCTTTCCATAGTAAACAAGAGCAGGAGCAGCACTAGGCATGCTGGAATGGTTTTCTGTGTGCATGTGTCAGGTTGCTTTCACCAGCATTGCTTCAGTTGCACATAATAACAAATTTGCACGAGCAAACAACGGCAAATGTGAGTGGACTCTAATGTCTGTATTCTGGGATTACCACTCTAAATTAATACATTTTCATAAAGTAAATCGTATCTCAAAGCTTACTGGGGCACAGATGATTTTTACTGTGGCACGAATTTTTTATTTTTATTTTTTGCACCGATTTCCCATGCTGCCCCCTGCAAGGTGATCACCCCGATTGCCCATGCCTAAATCCGCCACTGATCTAAATATCTAGTCAAACATTACGCACTGTCATCTTGAGAAATTATAATTAGAAATGAGTTATTAAAACTATTATGTTTGGAAATATGTTGAAAAAAATCTTCTCTCCATTAAATTGAATTGGGGGGAAAATATACCGGGGGGCTAACAATTCAGGAGGGCTAATAATTCTGACTT